TTTTTGCACTTTCTTCACGTAATCTTTTTTTATATTTAGGCTCTTTATTTTTGGTAAGGTCTATATAATTTGGATACGTTGTTGGATTATATGATAAGGTAGGGTTAAAAATAAGAGATGTATATGGGGTTACTGTATTTTGGTTTTGACTAGATGTCATTTGTGGCGAAATTTGCATTAGGTCCAAGGTACTTTGCTCAGAAGTGCCAGAATGCACATAATCAATAGATTCAATTTCCATTGCACACTTTGGGCATTGCGGAAGATCTTTTACATAATCCTCAAGACAGCTACGGTGAAATATGTGACTACAGATGAGTGCCGTAAATGGTTTTTTAAGTTCGTACAAAAAAAGCTCTTCTTTACACCTTGAGCATGGATCTAGTTCTGGAACTTCAACGCCTTTTGCAATAATATCTGGTGAGCCATTCTTAAGAATATTCAATGCGAGAGTTTTGAGACATGAAATATTTTGGGGGTTTGGGTTAGTAGACATATTCAAAGATAAAGTTTTGCAGGATTGAAAGAATTAGTATACGTTATAGACAGATAAGTATTTGCAATTAATCATACACTTAGCTCGTTTTTATAATAAATACTTTCACAACTAAAAAATTTAATTTGCAGATTTCATAAACTAATGTCGGGTTTGATGATCCGTTCATTCACGAATTATTTAGTATGGGGGGAATCGCTCGATCTTTGCTGGCAATCGTGGATAAATAAATTTAGCTTAAGGGTAGACCCAAAGGGTCATTGCTCTGCAATAGGTGCGGTTAGTGAGTTGGTTAGTACCAAAATACGTCTATGCTGATCTCTGATTCATGGATTTAGGTTCGAAGAGCTATTTCTTTGAAATAAAACGCATGACATCGCTCCACTGAGGCTCATTATTGCTTTGCAATGGGCTTTGCCCTATAACGTCATATGATTTACTTCACTTTGTGGCTATATATAAAATCATCAAGCTCGATAATTAACTTTACCTTTTACTTTACGCTTTCGAATAGAGTGTTTCTTTACTGCTCTAGTCTTATACGCATGTGTAACTTCTATTTCCGAACTAGATGTGGAAGAATTACTTGAAACGCTGTCTGAAGTATCTAAATTAGAAGAAGCATCTGTGGAATATTTGACCTTATTTTTCTTACTCTTATTTTTGGAAACATCGTCATTTAATCTTCTGGATGGAAGATGTGTAGGAGGTATGTTGCAAAATATTCATTGCTTACTAGTGCAAAGCAATGACCCTTTGGGTTTATCTCCAATATTTGAGAGAAATTTGTTAATTATATTTATAACCTCCTCTTGAGCTAGACCAGGTTTAGATTCTGTTGATTTAGATAAATTATTTTTAGTGAAGCTAGCTTTGTTAAAATCTTCATCGAATAACGGGATGCTCATACCATCTATTACAATTTTAGCATGGTGGACATGGGTTTTGGGAGAATGTCCAAAGCTTATTTTTGCTTCACGTATCCATAACCAATCTTGCCCCAACACCAGATCGAATGATAGATTTTTGTGAATTTGAAAGTTTATTAGTTCAGTATTACCTAAATTTTGCTACTTTCTTTTAATACGAAACTGTAAATCTAAGCCTTTTATTTCTTCGCCTATCAAATCATCACCAACTATACCTTCTAATCCGTGATCAGATTCAAGCTTATCGAATAAGTGTTTGCCAATAGTATTATATTTAGATGTTGTATCAATTAACGCTTTTACTGGGATTTTTCCTTCTACGAGTGTATTGATGAACATGTTAAATATGTTTAATGATGTATATTATAACCAAAAAATAATTATAATTTATTCTGAATTTTATCATGTATTAATATAATAAATAATAGCGAAGCTAGTACCAAGGTACATATTACTACACGATATTGACAATGAATAAAGCTATATTAGAAAATAATCATAAATCTCGAAATGGTAATAGTGTGATATCTCGCATTATTAAACAAGTGTCAAATAAAAAAATTCAGATCTCTTTCCGTCAATTACTAAAAATAGTAAAACCTGAGATTCAGCAAGATATTATAAACTTGATAGCAAACCAGATATTTCTCAGAGAAATCGTACACTATCTGAGGCTAAAAGAAAAAAAACAATTTTTAACAATACCGTATCTAAGTCCTCGTCTGAATCTGGGTCCAGCTCTGAATCCTCTTATGATAATGAAGATTTTACTGTAGATATGGTAAAAGTGAAGAAGCACAATTAATCTTGATCATAGATATGAAATTGTCTTGCTTGCTTATAAGGAACTCCTCTTTTTCTATAATTGACTACAACGTAATTTTGCACAGGAGAAGTATGATTATCAGATGAATGACGTAGACATTCTCCAGCAATTGTATAAGCGTGGGCCATATTCTTAGCCTCATGTGCTACTGCACCGTAAACTGCTTCTAATTTACGTAAATATTTAGGAATTAAATCATAATCTTTTAAGAATCTATTGAACCATTTAACTCCTGGCTTACCTGGATTACCTATTCGTCCAGATGATATAGCATGCTGAATCCAAGTGAGTAGTTTTTTGGCTCATTCTTGATTCTTTTCCATAGATCTAAATTTTCTAGAAATATCTGGCTGACCTTGGTTCTTCACATAACCCGTCACTCCAGTATCTGTAATGTGTAAAGTTTTAAGTTCAGCAGGACGAATACAAAGTATCACCATAACATCAGCAAGAGCCTGATAATCAGGTAAAGTTTTAATATCATACGCATCTAATCTTTTTTTGACTGATTCTAATGTAAATTCATCTGGATAATTGATACGTTTAGTTTCAGCTTTTTTCCGATTGACACTCTGGATTTTGTTAGTATTTTCTGTAATATCTGGAAATTTTGTAGTCTCGATTATCTCAAGTGATGCATTAAGGTTCCTTAATTCTCTATGAAGACGAGTGAGACGTGATGAGCCAGCATTAGCATTTTTTGCTGATAGGGCTAAAGCATAAGCTTCGGCTCTTACATCTCTAATATTAAGTTTATCCTGTAAAATCTATTGCGCTATATCTCCAATAGTTTCTTCCTTCATTCCTTTAGAGAGTTGATTGGCGATTACAATATTTAAAGTTTTGCCAGAAATACTTTTATATTGTCCATTTTTCTGGGTTGTAAATAAGGCGTTTACTTGATCTTCACTAAACCCATATCTATTTTGCAAGATTCGTTTTGCTTTCTCTCTAACGATCTCTTCTTCTAAACTTTTTGGGGGCTTGGTTATAGCTATTCTACAATTACCTTCAACCAAATTTATAGTTTTATTTTTCCCACTTCTTTGATTAGGTATCAATACACCCACCTGTTCACTGCTAAATTTAAAACCATCCTGAAGACGTCGTCGAGCCTGATTCTACTTTCTATCATCAGTAAGGTTCTCAAGAAATTCTGAGGTATATTGGCTAAGTTCAGAGTTGCTCATCCTCGGAGTGAGAGTATATTTTTCAATGATTTTAGTTGTAATAGCTGACATGGTCTAATGTTATAGTATGTTATAAGCACTTCTTTAGGTTATATATACTACGAAATATATTTTTTCAAATCGAAATTAATTATGCTTTTTCCTTCCATATTGGAAAAGAGAGTATGAAGCTATGTATGGGTATTTGAGTCGTTGATTTGAATTTTATTAATACAAAAGATATAACAAAAAAATTTATAGCTTCGAGTTGTGGCGATTCAGGCTAATAATTGGGCATTGTATTTTATTTTTTAGTATAATACTCGAGCTAGAATTAATATATGTTCTGGCTCTAGAACGTTTGCCTTGGTGAATGCATCGTATAAGGCGTTTGGATTATATTTTAAGGAAATCAAATTCGGATGATAGAGAAATTTCATAAGTATAACACTTCTCTATTCACGCGCTTTATTACTATCCCAACACATTTCTAATAATACAGATAAGCTGGAGTAATTCATCTCGATCAAGTTATCTAAAGACGTTTTTCTATTTCTTTCTATAGTGAAAAGACTTATTTCTCCTTCGACAATAGATGACATAGTAATCGGACATCTCCACATATATCTCCTCTTCGGGCTAAAATAGAAAGTGGTGGTATCAGAGCAGGATAATAAAAGTTAGCTAGAGGGTAGATTGTACCGTATTCATCTAAATCGATTGGTAGAATATCTTCTAAATAATGTGTATGATCTCTGGCATATTTATATCCTTCGTATAACAATCTATTATATAATTTTCCTTTCCTTTTAATCCAACAATTAGTGGAGAGATTAAGCACTTCTTCAGGTTCATTGAATTCTTTATTATATTCCGGATCTTGGATATACATTTTTGCATTGTATTAATGTGGTATATAGTTATGAAAATGATAATAGTTGATTGTTACTTATGTAAATGATAAGTTTAATTAGTT